GGAAAGCAGAAAAAGCATGTTTAGGCTTAAAGAAGCAGACATGAGCACAAAAAAGTGAAAATTATCTGAAAAAGCAGAAATTTACAACAACAATAAAAACCACCCAGCTGAAACATAGCTAAAAAGGCAGATATACGCTTAGATTACCAGAAGGAATTGGAAAGAGCACATATGTGCTAAATCAGGCTGAAAAAAGTTAAAAGCAGTGCAAAAATTGTGGAATTAGCTTAAAATGCTAAAATTAGCATAAACAGTTATGGCTGAAATAACTTCAGCTAGCATAAATAAGCTGAAAAGAGCATAACAAGCTGAAATGAGCAGAAAGAAGTTAGAAGACACATAACAATTATGTAGTTAGCAGAAAGAATCTAAAAGGATCACAAAACAGCTGAAATTAGCTGAAAGTAGCTGAAAAAATGTTTAAAGTTGCACAAGGAAGCTGAAAGAAGCTGAACCAGAACAAAATGTGAAAGGAGCAGTAAAAGGTTGTGAACAGATCTAAAGATTAGAAAGATGTAAAATGAGCTCAATTCATTATATGAGGAAAAAAAGGCAGAAAAGGCTAAATATTTCAAAAAGCTAAAGTTGCACCAATACCAAAAGTCATAGCACCCTTCTCCTGAACAAGTTGAATGTTTTGATTTATGATTTGTTGAAATAGTTAGAAAACTGTGAAACGAGAAAGATGCCGAAAAACGTACGGAAGAAAACTGGATCACAATAGTGTGAATGCTTCATAAGCATTCACAAAGTAATAGTTTCACAATGACATCATTCCAGATGCTAAAATGTGGAGGATGAAGAGGTCACATCCTACAGTGACTCAACACAAAGCCAGGTGGCTCAGGCTTTGTTCTGTGAGAGATATTAGTTTGATGCATACTTCCAGCTCTTCCTTTGTCCAGAACAGGAATCTGAGACTGAATCTGAGGCTCCACAGAATGCTTCCTTTTATGTGTTTTGGTGATTTTGTCCACATCTGGCTGCTTTCTGGTCATTTCCTCCATAAATACCTGCAAGGGGAAACGCCAGCTACTGTTATACAAACAAATCATATAAATATGTTGATGTAACTGATTTTACTTGCAGTTTGACTTCACCTGATGTTCTGCTATGAGATTCTTGATCTCCTCGATCTCCTGAGGCAGTAGCTCCTTATCTCTGTCATTCAGGTTGGTCTCAGCCCACTGCAGCCAGGTCAGAAGATTCTCCAGCAGATCCTGAGTGGCTAACAGATCAGTGAGGGCTGCAGCTAGTCGCTGTTGGTGCTGCCGAGCCCAAGCCTGCACCTGTAATAGCAGCATTATAAACATTGTTGATTCTAAAAACACAAAAACTAATTTTTAATAAAGCCATCTCATTTTCTGTTAATTGCAGAGAACGTTAGCACATAAAAGATCATTGTCATTTGTGTAGTAATTTATAACAACCTGTGTGAACGCTTGTGAAGCATTTATACTATTGTGATCCATTTTTCTTATGTACGTATAGTGGCGTAATTCTCGTCCCGCAGTTTTCTAACTATTTCAACAAATCATAAATCAAAACGTTCAGCTCGTTCAGGAGAAGGGTGCTATGACTTTTGGTATTGGTGCACCTTTAGCTTTTTTGAAATATTTAGCCTTTCCTGACATTTTTTTTTTTTCTAAAATTAATTGAGCTCATTTTACATAATTCATATCTTTAGATCTGTTTACAACCTTTTACTGCTCATTTCACAGTTTGCTCTGGTTCAGCTTCTTTCAGCTTCCTTGTGCAAATTTAACAATTTTTTCAGCTATATTCAGCTAATTTTAGTTGTTTTTTAAGCTGTTTTGTGCTCCTTTCAAATTCTTTCTGCTAACTAAAATATTTTTTGTGCTTCTTCTAACTTTCTGCTACTTTCAGCTTGTTTTGCTCCTTTCTGCATATTTCTGCAAGTTTCAGCTTTTTCTACCATTTCAGCTACTATTTAAGCGCCTAAATAAAGGTTGAATGAATTTAGCTGTTTTATGCTAATTTAAGCTTTTTCAGCTAATTCCACATTTTTTGCATTAATTTACTTATTCAGCCCAATTTAGCAAAAATGTGCTTTCTCCACTTCGTGTTATTTTGCTTCTTTCTGCCTTTTTAGCTACTTTTCAGCAGTTTTTTTGTTCATTTCAGCTTTCCCCCCTCCACATAATTTCCATTTTTTGTGATCAATTCTGCTTTTTTTAGCCCAATTGTGCAAATGTGTTATGCTTTTTTATGCTAATTTAAGCATGTTCAACCTTTTCAGCTATCTTTCAGCATTTTTTCTGCTACTTTCAGGCTAATTCACTTATCTATGTTAATTTCAGCCTGTTTTGCTCGTTTCAGCTTTTTTCTGCTAGTTTCTGCTATTTCAGCTACTATTTAGCTGTTTATATGCTAGTTTTTGATTTTTCAGCTAATTTCACCTTTTTGAACTAATTTTAACTCTTTCCGCCTCATATTATTAGTTTAGGCTTCTTTCTGTCTTTTAAGCTACTTTTCAGCTATTTTTGTTAACTTCAGCTTTTTAGCTAATATCATAATTTTTGTGCTCATTTTTGTTTATTTAAACCTAATTAAGCAAATATGGGTTATTTCTGTTTTATTCTATTTTAGGCTAGTTCTTAATTTCAGGTACATTTCAGAATGTTTTTAGCCAATTTCAGCTGTTTTCCAGCAAGTTCTTCTGCAACATGCATTCACACTGCATTTTCACAGGAAATGCAATTTCTAGTCATAATATACTTTCTTTATTACAAACTTGACAAATTCAAAGAGTTCTATGCGCTTTGTTAAACTTACATATAAAGGTACTGTACATCTGCCAGTAAGCAGCTGTGTACTGACCTCTTCAAATCTGGCTTTAATGATGGTGTTCCAGTGCTTGATGGTTGTGATGGAATCCGGATGGCAGATGCTGAGAATGGCCTCCCCCATGCTGGTTGCTTTGTTCAGACCCACTCGCTTTTCCTCCAGCTTTTTCACAAACTCCTTAAAAGTAGTAAACAGAGGAGAGCTTGCACTTGGAACTGGATTATCATCAGTGAACATAACAACGAAACGCTGCCCATGTGTGTTTTAATGTGAGAACAATGCAGAGCTATTTTAGTCGGATGAAATCATACCGAGGAAAATAATCTAAAGCACTCCGTTTTTGGCCTGAAGAAGGGCAGGTTGCAAAACAGAATCTTAACTGTTTATTCAAGAAAAAGACGTAATCAAAAAAGAATCCTGGCAAGTTTATTCTTTTAATAGTGCCAAAAAAAACTTCAACAATACATTTGAGATTTGTTCGATAAATTAAGCAAACAAATTTTCACCACTTGCCTTTTGTTGTTCAATAAGCCCCTGCAGAGCCTCCTCATCATCGGGCAGGCTGCCATGGAAACGCAAACTCTGCTCGGCCTCAGCTAGCCACTCCAGCAGGATATGAACAGCAGAGTGAAATTCCTCAGCCTGCAGCAAGAAGATACACATCAAGTACAGCTCTTTACCTTCTGTGTAAAGACTGAGGGGGGGCTCTGCGGTACCTGGCAGAGTGACTGCTCAAGCCGAGTCTGCTTTGACACAGAGAGGTTGCACACTGTCTCCCAACGAGTGCCCAGCTCCTGCATCTGGACTTTTACCCAGGAGGAGTCGTCATGGCTGTTCTCGACCAGCTCCCTCGCTGAGCGCTTGAGAGCCTGAACGCTCACCGTTCGCTTCCCCAGCTCCTTCTGGAAAACCTGCAGCAACGAGATGATGTTAAATCATGCGAGAATATATGAATCACATGTCCTTTTTAAAATGTCATCTTTGAACATAAATAAGCATAATAATATCAGTAGGGATGCACAATATTATCGGCATGGTATCGGTATCAGCTGATATTAGTGTTAAAGTTAAATATCGGACATCGGCCAGTCTATCAAAATAACTCACCAATATAAAACGCACTGTTTTTGTATGAAAACCCAGTGACAAGGATGAGTGCAGCGCCAGCACAAATTGATGACGTCACACGCGCCTACCTCATCTGATCACGGCGGAGAGGAAGATTCAAAATGTCGGCAGAGTGGACGTTTTTTTTTTATTTTTATTGAGGATGTCAGATTCCAAAGATTTTTGGACTACGTTGAGCCTCGTTACATCGTCCCCAGTCTGAGATATTTTTCCGACGTAGCCTTAACGAGTTACAAGCCGTCATTTCCGATGTCATTGAGAAGCTAATAGCTGATAGCACTTGAGTGAGTTTTACCACAGACATTTGGACGCCAAGTGTTAGCCCCGTTAGCATGATTAGCCTTACAGCTCAATGGATAGACAAAAACTTTGAACTTATAAAGTCTGTCCTTCATGCACAAGAGTGCAGAGGATCCCACACTGCAGCTAGGAACCTGGAACAAGCCTCCACAAGTGAGACGGCATCGCAGGTGAGGTGACTAAAGCTAATAAATAACATTTAACACTTTTCATTTAATACAAGTTAAAGTGTTATGCATATCATATGGCTGTTACTGAATATTTGTCACCAGCTCTTACAGCTGTTACACAATTTTCACAATATCGTGCATCCCTTATATTAGGTTTCAAAGAATCAGGAATAAGGACTTTAAAAAAAACTAAATGCAATGAAATAGGTATAACAGTGCTATCTCTATTGCTTGAATTTATAGCCCAACCCAGATGTGGTTTAAGTGTCTGTGGATGGAAAGCTACCGGCAATAAAAGGATCAAACGAACGGGTGGGGATGTGGTGAACCCTTCAACTTTTATGTCAGGTGTTAACATCAGTAATCAGCCATCAGTTCAACAAAAGTGTGTCATCTTATACCTTGTGGGTGTCTATCAGGTTGAGAACCAGATCAATGTCTCCATGCACGGGCTGGTCCTCAGCCAGCTGAGGCTCCACTTTATACAGCCAGTCAATGAGAGCCTGGAGGGCATCTGTAAACTGCCCGGAGAACAGCAGGGCCTCCTCCAGCTTGTTTTGTCTGCAGAGGAAAACAAGTCACGAATAATAAATAAGACACTTAATCTGACTACAGGTTCCAAATGTGGGAAGAAAAATCTTCACCTTTCTACTGATTTGCCACAAACGGTGTCCCATTTGTCCCTCAGTTCGCTCAGCATGTCATGCAGTTTCTGTTTGTCGTCTTTAAGGACAGTTTTGTCTTTTAGGGCTCGGCCTGTTCGAGCGGTGGTGTCATACACAGAATGTTTGCTGCCCAAAGCTTTTTGGAACTCCTGCGTGCAAAAAAATAATAAAATCATCAGTCATAAATAAATAAGCTTAAAACAGTCTGCATTAGAGGGCTGGTAAATGTCTGTAGATGTGCAGGCAAACAGGTTTTCTTCTTTTTGGAGCTGGAATGTCAAAATGTATTCTAATCTGTGTGGATTTGTTTGTGCGTGCTGTGATTAAGAAGGCAATGTTGTGTGGGGGAAACAAAAAAAGCAGGTCAAATTTCAGCCAGTGCTCCACAGAGATTAAAAGTATCCAATCCCTAATACATTTGGTCCCCACCCAGGATTACGATAGGATTAGCCCCATCTCCACACACAACACTGCAAACGCAACAAGAATCAAGTATAAACTAGAAAGAATTATTCTCTGTGAAAATACAGAGTGGATGCTGAGCACTGAATGACTTTGCTGAAATTTGGTGAATTGGCCGAGGCTGAGTAAGCTAAATGCTAAAAGAAGCTGAACACTAACTAAAAGGAATAAAACACTAGCTAACACCTAATAAATCAAAGCACTAGCTAAAAGAAGTAAAATGCAGCTAAAAGTATCAAAAAGGCTAGTTAAAAGTACCAAAATGCTAACTAATAGCTAAAAGCAGCTAAAAGAAATGAAAGGTTAGCTAAAAAGTATTAAAAAAGATGGCTCAAAGCTAGTTATAGTGGGATAGTAGCTAAATGTAGCAGAATGCAGTTAAAAGGAACAGCAGCAAAAGGCTAGCTAAAAATACCAAAATGGTAAGTGATAGCTAAAAGCAGCTTAAAGAACTGAAAAGTTAGCAAAAAAGTATAAAAAAGAAGGTTCAAAGCTAATTGTAGTGGGATAGTAGTTAAATGTAGTAGAATGGCAGTTAAAAGGAACAGCAGCAAAAGGCTAGCTAAAAATACCAAAATGCTAATAGCTAAAGCAGCTAAAAGAACTGAAATGTTAGCTAAAACTTATCAAAATTATGTCTTGAAGCTAATTACAGTAGAATAGAAGCTAAATGTAGCAGAATAGCAGTTGAAAAGAAAAGAAGCAAAAAGCTAGCTAAATGCTAAAAACATCATAAGAAGACATGAAACTGAGCAAAATGTCAAAAAGAGCAATGTTTTTACAGAAAGTGAAGAGGAAATCCATAAATAGATGTATCTTGTATGTGACCGATTTCACTTGTGCTTTAATAAAAAAACAAAAACTATGCTGTAAACAAATGTAAAGCTCTGACAAAAACTACGCAAAAAAATAATTCATCACCTTGTGCTGCACCAGCTGCGTCTTGATTTTGTCTGGTTCGTTGGCAATTTCCACTTCAGAGTCCAGCGTTTTCTCAGATTCATCCAGCCATTCCATCAGTTTGTTAAAAGTCTCGTGGAACTGCAAAAACATTAAGAAACAGTGTAAAAAAATCTGAAAAAATGTGATATTTAAATTGATTTATCGCACTGTTCTGCTTTATGTTCACATGCACAAGCTTACTGGTCCAAAGAAAAGAAACGGTCCACACTAAATACAGTAACAGCATGCGGATAGGATGTTAATCAGGCCTAACATCATTTTTCCATTGAGCGTTCCAACTGTAATAATAGTTCCTGATAACAGAGATGCCTGCAGCAGAATCAGTATAAACATGCATCATCCAGTACCTGCTTGGCCCGTTTTCTGGCATCGTCCAGCAGACGACCTCGCTCTACAGATCTCTGCACCAGCTTCTCCCAGCGGCCCTGCACGCTCAACAGAAGGTTCTTGATCAGCACCACATCCTGTTTCTGGCTGAAGTACTTCAGATGCGTTCCTGTCTTGTCCAGTTCAATGATGTGCTCTCTGTGGGAGTTCACCTCGGTCACAAACATCTGCGCAAAAAGAGCATGGCAAACTGAGGATAGAACTTTAATTTATATAATAAAAAATAAAGTTTTTATTCCTGGAATGCATCATTAATCATGCAGAGTTTCAAAATCTATTTATTTTCATCACCACTTCATTTCCTTCCAGAGCTGCACAGCTGTTCTGTGTCAATAAATGTTACCTTATGCTCATCAATTTGAAACATGATGGTTTCCAGTATGAGGGAAGCTGGGGAGACCATGTTCAGCGTCTGCTCCGCTTGGGTTAGCCAAACAATAAAGTCTTGAAGAGAGTTGTGGAAATCTGTGGCCAGCGTTAAGGCTTCTTCTAGTTTTGCCTGCGGACAAAAAATAAATAAATTGTGCAATTTTTGTCTGAAATAAATATTAACAAGACACTCTAGTGTTTAATCCACAGTTCACTGCTCTGTGCTGCACTTTTTCCTGTTTAAACAGCAGATCTCTGGAGACGTTAATAACGAAGCTGAAAGACAATGATGATTTTTTTAAATAAAGAAAAACATGCACAGCAACGTCATCACTGAATTAAAGGCCTAGCATTCTTTAAGAAATGCATATTACTTGCTGACAATGCCAGAAGTCTAAACTAAGATCGTTTTATGCTGAGGAAAGATGGGTAACAGCTGTTTTGATTAAACCCTGCAAATGACGTTATTCACTCATGCACTATTGTGGATTCTCATGCGATGACTTTGTAGAACGGTGGCGCAGACGGTAGATGCCTCTCAGCAAGCAGGTCCTTGGTTCAAATCCCGTTCTGGGAGCCTATCTGGGTGGAGTTTGCATGTTCTCTCCATGCACGTGTGGGTTTTCTCCAAGTACTCTGGTTTCATGTATGTTTGGCAGATTGGCAACTCTAAATTGTCCCTATGTGAGTGAGAGAGTGAATAATTTTTTGTCTCGTTTGTCTCGATGTGTCCCTGTGATGGACTGGAGACCTGTCCAGGGTATACCCCGCCTCTCGCACATTGACTGCTGGACATGCGGCCCAAAAAACACGGAAGAAGCAGATAAAGATAATGGATGGATGACTTAGCGTTCAGAAAATGTGTTGAGAATGACTCTCAGCTACTACCATACCAAATTCAGCTCAGTACAGTCCCTCGTTTCTTCGTGGTTTGCTATATTGCAGATTTTCAAAGTAAAATTGGACATGACACAATTGGCTGATTAATGGATGATCCATGGGTTGTTTATTTAAAATAAATTATTTTAAATGATTTTGCACCATGTGTGCAGCCCACACGTGCAGGGGAAGCTCCCTCCTGCAGCTGATCAGCTGATCTCCTTCTCTGCACACACACATTTCTCTTACTGCGTTGGCTTTGTGACGAGTTAACCCTTTGCTGTCCAGATGCACCGATCGACTTTTGTCTTGCAACTTAAAATTCAAAGTATGTCACATCGTAAAATCGTCTTAATCACAAAACATAAAAGTGCTAAAAGTTTTTTTTTTTTATTATTTTAGAACTTCTATGTTCAGTTGTTGCAGTGTAATTGATCAAGAAGTACATTTCTGCTACGTGCTGCTGCTACGTGAAAGGTTAACCCTTTGCTGTCGTGCTGCACTTCTCTTCTCTACAATTTAAGTTTAAATACTGTAATATTTTACATAAACAATCCATGCTGCATGAAATGTTTATTTAAAATATTACAGTATTTAAATTTAAATTGTTTATTTAATGAGGGAGATTGGGAGTAACAGGTGAGTGTGATTGCAGCTTGACACGCCATGACAAAGTTTACTGAACTTGAACTGAACTTGAACTTGTTCTACTGTATCCCTACTTCACGGTTTTTCACTTATCGTGGGTGAGTGTGGTCACGAATACCCGCGATAAACGAGGGACTACTGTACCTGTAAAATTGCAAGAGTTGCAGCCATTTTTCTTTTGCTAAAATCGCTTAGCTGTGGTAGCTTGAACAGAGTTGACTCCAGAATTTGAATGGTTGGAGACATTTATCAATGATTGCTTCTGAAAGTTTAATTAGACAGTGTTGCAACTTGAATTTAAACGTCAGTGCAGACTAGAATAATTCAACAAAATGTGATTTTTCTACTTGAAAACGTTGATAGAGACAGCAGGAGAGTTGCGGTGGTTAGATGACGTTTGTTTAGTTTGGCAAGAAGAAATATGTCTCAAATGCCTGCTGTCTTTTATTTGACTGACTTGTCAGACCTTCACTTTACAGGGAGCAAATGATAACCCTGTTGTTCCACTGAGGCAGCAACTCCACTGCTGTGATCCACCGCGTAACCACATCCCGTGTGTCATTGCCAACACTTACACCATTCATTACCAACACTGGGATTAAAGGCTCTCAGCTGCACCTTCATGACTCAAGTGTTTGTCAGTGGTCCCTTGCAGAGGGGGCCTGAAGAAATGAATCATCTGGGTAAAAAGCAGTGAAAGCCACAAAGTGGCGACCCCCCATCCTACCTTTCTATCGGTGACCTTAGTCTGCACAGCTTCCCACTTCTCCTTCAGGTTGGCGAGGTCATGCTCCGTGGTGCTATCTGGGCCCTCGGGTGTCATGGCGAGCAGCTGGTGACCCTTGTTTAGCAGCTCATGATACAGCTCCTCCTTGGCCTCAAAGGCAGAACACAACTCCTGTGAGAAGAAAAAGAAAAAGATACAATGGCAACCAGGAAAGAAATGCCTTTGTCAGTGAGGCTATTTAGAGTTTAGGACAGTTCATTTGTCAGCAGGTAATCCAAGTTTAGTCCAAAAATGGTAAAAGAATGAGCACTGTGAGGCAGGCTAAAAGCCCCAAAAGCATTTTTCTCATAAACATTTAAACTGTATAATATTTCCAGTTTGATAAAAAAAAAAGTGATTGCTTCCAAATTCTTTCTGTTTTTCCTTATATTAAATGTCACCACTGATTTTTTTTTTTTTTTATAGGAAAAAGTGTCTCCATTACTATAAAGGAAAAACAAAGAAAGAAAACATTCCCAAAGTCATTATAGTCAGACACGTCGGAATCAATTAGAAACACTTAAAAGGCTTTTTGTCATCTTTTTTTTCTTCGCAGTCTGATGCAAGTAGTGTATTTTGTGGTGTCATTTAATTTTCACACTTTGGGTAAAACACAGAAACGACACGGTCACCTCATTGCCAGCCTGCCATCTGTAAGCGGCCTTTCAGATTGTTAAACACATACCAGATGGGCGTTAAGCTGCTCCCGAGCCGTGTCTGGTAAGCCTCCCACAGCCTTTGATGCCAACAGCTGACGTTCTGTGTCTTTCAGCCATTGCTGCATATCTTCGATCTCACCATGGAAACCTTGGGCCTACAACACAATACAACCTGAATCAGCCCTCGCACACACGCATATTGTTTGGAACCTGAGACCCGGAGAGGAACATGACTGAGTTATTAAATCCCTGGGCTCCTGGCGGTTTCAGCAGCGTAAAAGGGTGGCTCGTAATGAATTGAAGCTTTTGAGGGAAAACAAGGGGCCAATTCATGATTGTTGTCTCTCTTTTTGTCACTTGACATGATTATATTTCTCAATAACTTCGGATACACATGACGAGAAACATAAAACTTTTTAAAATACACTTTTCAGACGTTTTTTTTTTTTTGATGCAAACATATATATTTGGGAATAAATTGAAGCTTTAAGCTCTCGATCACATCACAGCACCTCCATTCCACGTCAAATGTGTAACGAGAAAAGTCCACAGGGATCAAAATGAACAAGGAAGTAGAATAACCCCTCTTTGTGACAGAACCTTTTTGGGTTTGACATATATTTAATCCTTTGGAATAAAATAATGAGTCATACTTTATTGAATAAAAACAAATTGTGCAGTGGTTTTAGGTTACAGTTTAAAGGAGAAACTTCTCCGTCATCCTGGGTGTATTACGATAATGTGGGTTTAAATGAAGGCAATTGAACTTTATTTTTCTAAAGATGTTTCTCATCCGAGGAGTTTTCTCAATTCAGACTGAAAAGTAAGGAGTTCCAGGTTTTAAATGACAATGCACTGCTTATTAATGCAACCTGAACTCGCATGCAAATCACGCTCCCTGCCCTCTATTGTGAGGGTTGTTAGCGTCTGTTGTTGAGGCCAACAAAAATGTCGAAGAAAACTTCTCGGATGAAAAAAGAAACAGCTACAAAAAAAATAAAAATAATAAAAATAAAGAAGTCCCTTTGTTTAGACCTACCAGGATTAGGTTAAGGTAAATGTAAATCAGTAACCTGAAGCAGAGACGACTCCAGCTGCTGCTTTCTCTGCTCCGCCTTCTCCAGGATGGCTTTCCACCTCTGGTTCAGATTCTCCAGTTTGCTCTGCAGACTGGAGGCCTCTTCTCCAGCACTCGACTCCACCAGTTCATTACCGGCTTTGTTCACCGTCTCCACGGTTGATTTGTGAGCTAACACGTCTATCTGGAGAACCTGTTGGGGAAAAAGCAACCAGGAGTGGCAAAAAAGTTACCTGAATAGCATAAAGGACGTCACCAAGACTAAATAAATCGGTTGAAAATGCAATCAACATATGATTTCTATAGATTTGTAAAAGTTTATACTGTTATTTGAATTAACACATTTCAAAACAAATCTACAAACAAGAGGACTCGTCATACGTGGTGCTTGGCAAGCTCTATCTCAATGGCTTTGGGGTCTCCTGCAGCTTTTCTCTGTTCGTTGAGCAGCTCCTCGGTGTGGCTCATCCAGGCCAGCAGCTCGTCCAGGGCATGCTGGAACTGGCCCAGAGCCAGGAGGCCTCCCTCCAGTTTGTGCTGGATTTATGACAATTTGACCCATTAGACATGACATTCAGTAAAAGCATTTAGCACACACAACACAGTCATTTGTCTTACGGAGGTAATGCTCAGTGGTCTGCAACCTTTACGATCAAAAGAGCCATTTTTACGCTTTCGTCCACGACATTAAACGTGTTGGGAGCCGCAACAACTGGCTACAACTGTGGTCATCAACTGGTGGCCCGTGGGCCACTTTAGATTTGCTGGAGGGGGCATTTGTGGCCAGTAGGGGTGACATTATAAAGCATAAAATATCTAATGATTTTTAATATTTATTAACGAAAAAGACCAGATAATTGTAAATAAGGGAGGAAAAACAAAGTTTTTACCTTTTTTTAATTTAAAAAATCTGTAAACTATGCTTTATATAAAGAAATAAATCATCAAGTTAAAGTATGTTTTACTCCTTGTACTCGCTCCATTTTTCACGTATTTGCAAAAGAAACGACTGGAAAACAGATTGAACTACCAGTAATCCATTTTTTTGTTGTTTGTACAACCAATAAAATTCAGTTTTATGTCAGTTTTGGTCAAAGCTTGAAAGAGCCGCTGCAGAGGGACCAAAGAGCCGCGTGTGGCTCTAGAGCCGCAGATTGCAGACCCCTGGTCAAGATCCTGTACTTGGGAGGAAACAAACATTTATTTATGTTTTCCTTTATATTTATTGGCTATCTCAGAACTGATCAGAATAACAACAGAACCTCAAAAGTAAAACTTTTGGAGATTAGTGACAAAAATTGGTTTCATAGGTTAAATTGACCAATTCCAAAGTAAAAAAATAAATAAAAATAAATGAAAAATGAAATGTTGAAAGTATTTTTTCAAAATGAAACTTCTTCTGCTTGGCTTAATAAGGATAATCAACATATAAAATGAAAATGGTTCATTTTACATACAGTATTTGCAACACCCTCCCCCATCTATAGATATTACATAGATACTGTTCGGGTCAATTTAACTCTGAACAAAACTGGTGTCTCAAGTTCATTTATAAACATCACTTTTTGAAAAGGAAAAAAAAAAATCTATTTCATGTATAACCACCATTTTGTTCTGTGTAGATTTTTCCAATGGACATTAAAAAAAAAGTGCATTTAGAAAAAAAAAGAAAACAAAAAAACAATATTAAAATATTGATTGAAATGGTTAATAATGGAGTTAATAATCAGAAACAAATATGTCTTGGGGGATTTTGGGGGTGTTTCTGACCCTATTGCATGATTAAATATTCCCCGGGTCAAATTGACCCAATAGCTGTTCCTCAGAAACGAACACAGGAGGGTTCAATTAAAACATAAAAATAATAAATAATAAACAGAACAATAAGAACCAGTCATTTTCTGGTAGTACTGTTCCCTGCTCTGACCTGGCGGCTGATTATCTTCTCGTCCAGGTTGTCCCAGAGCATCTTGAGCTCGGACATCGGCTCGTTGATGGCGCAGCGATCCGTCTCCTCCCTCACCTTCTTCAGCAGGAGGCCGGCCTGGTGGTTCAGGCGCTCCATCTCAATCTGGAGCTGGTACGTTTCTCCTTTGAACTCCTGAAAGAACAACGCATGCAGCGGCACACCCGAACCGTCAACAAAAGCACTAAAGTTACACAGACAATAGCATCTCTGTCTTTGAAGGGAAAGATTTGTCAGCCTGTACATCAAAGTACAAAGTACACGAAAGTACTTTGTGAAGCAGTATTTGCACACAAAAAAAAGAGATGGACTCGCACTGCTCATGAATGGAGCACTGAATATAAATACAGATGTTGTTGTCATCTGCCCTGACAGCAAAAACTGAATGTAAACAAATCAATTTATAACCCAGAGCAGAGGAGAATGATCATGTTTTCATACAATCACAGCAGTAATTTGTCATCCTTTATCTAAACACAAAGCCAGTACCTTGAGTTCTACAATCTGCTGCTTGACCGTCTCCAGGTCTGTGCCCACGGGGGACATTGAATCCAGTTTGCTCTCCAGAATATCCACCCAGTCAAACATACCCTGAATACAAAGCAGAAAACCATTGTTAAAGTGAGAGAACAAAGATTAGTGCAAAGAGAGTCATGTTTCACTTGGTTTCATTATGCACTAAATCTAAAGGCCGGTTGGTACGGTTAAAAACTGAGTAAACATACAAAATAAAAAAACAGACCTATGGCCTGAATTTAATTTAAATTAAACCAGCTGCGAAGATTTGTCTCCCACAGTGAAAAAGACTTTATAGGAACTTTATGAGTTAAAGCCAGAGCCAAATATAGCACCAGACTGAGGCTGGTGTTTATTGCTTCTAAATGAACGTGGCTCTTGTAAAATGTCATATCACTCCAAGCATCTCCACTAGAATCTGTTGTTTCATCTGAAGGTCTTAAAATGCTGTGGCTCACGTTGGTGTTTTTGAAAGTTTTATGTATTTTTTAATGAAAACAGACATAAATTGCAATAATCACTGATGGTTCCCATTCTCAAAACTGTGTATTGTTGTGATCCAAATACCTGCAGTCCATCTTGAAACTGCACGGCCGCCTGCATAGCTTCCTCCAGTCCCTCTACTCTTTCCTTCCAAGTCTTGTTGAGGTTTTCCCACGCTGAGTTCACCTGCAAAACATCACGTTACCTGAATGTAGCTGATGAAATCTGATCACGTGAATCAGCAAGTGACATCTCTGCAGTAAACTACAGTAAGACAAATACAAGTTTCTTGTAAAACTGTTTTTTTTTGTGTGTGTGTGGTAATCCGCAGGGGCGATTCTAGAAGCTAACCTTTAGGGGTGCTTAGCCCCCAGTGCTGACAATAGCTATGTTTACATGCGCAAAATTCTTTGACCGGAATGAAATGTTTTCTGATTAAATAATTCAAATATATCCGTTCACGACGAGCGTTTACATGCGGCGGGCTTTTATTCTGAATAGAAGTACTGACATGCACAGAGTGGTAAACTCTCCTTAAAAAACACAGAAGTTCTACTTCTGTTTTACTTCCGGGACGAACGTAAACAAACCTGAGCGTCCAAAATGGACCCGTGCCAGGTTTTTATGATGGTGGAGACGTTACTGCCCTCCCTGATTGAGCTACAGGAGCTCTTTCAAAGTTTTTAGTAGAAAGTGTGTCGCTCACCGACCAGTTTTGCTTCCCCGACATGCTAATATTATTAGCATTAGCCTGGTGGAAATATGTGAAGTAGACATAGGTTGCACATGTGTAGTCAGGTCAGTTTTCCACAATCAGAAAAAAATGAACAGATTAAGTGTTTACATGCACACCATTCAGATTATGAATCGGCATAAACCACCCATCTCATTCTGATTACAAAATCTGTCAAATCAAGCTGAATCAACAAAAAAATTATCAGAATGGAGCATTTACATGACGCATTTTTATTCCAAATGGCCATTAAATCTGATTACATATGTGCATGTAAACACAGCTATTGATTGGGGGGGGGG